ATATGAACTTCTGAAGATGGGTTTCATTCAAGCTTCAAATTGACTGATGTATTATTTTACAATAAAATTTAGGGGAGAACTGTGGCAGCTACAAGTCAGAGTGTTTTATTTTTCTGAGATGACCAACCTGATGAATTATTTGCACGCACTGTTGACTCATGAACTGTTGAAGATTTAACTGTTGAAGGTTTAACTGTTGGATGGCTTTGGCATCTACCAAAAAATATAACAATAACTTTTAAAAAGTTGCTACATGAGAAAAATATGAAGATTTTTCCAGTAGGTGTACATGCGAGCTAGCTCCCCTTAATCACAAACCCCTAGACTGCAATTAGTTGGTGCCCAACTGATAGGTATACTAACTTTTTTTTCCGGTCGTTTGAAGACAAATGAAAGAATTCAAGAAACCAACTACTCTAAATTCCTCAAACAATCAAATCTCAAAGATGAATTGCAAAATCTTCCTTTACGATTTTTTCTGTTATTTAACTTTGACAAAAGGAAATTTCTTACCCCGATAATGATGACGCTGAAAGAGCAAGGAAAAAAAAGAACAGGTTAATTCTAAGAAACCCCTTAAAATGACATAATTCAACATTTCATCCACTCTAAACCATGCAAAAATTTTAAAAAATAGATTGTATTCACACAAGACCTTTTTGCTGCAATTGACAGAAACAAAGTGAACCTTCATTAATTAAACAAACACTTTCTAAAGAAATACATGTGACTCTGTGAACAAAGAACTGCAATAAAAATTCTATTAAGACACAAGACAAGTACATAGCCAAAATAAAATAGACAACTGTGATTCATGTTAATTCCATCATCGACTTATAACAAAATATATAAAAATCAGACATTCCAAAAGCAGACCTAACAGATTGTACTACATAAAACTCTTTGTATTTAAAAATAAACAAACAAATTGAAAAATCAGGATTACAAAAAAGATCTTAACCTGCAACAATAATTGAAACATTTATTTCTACTTGGTACTACACATGTTAAATCATATTCTCTCTGTCAGGATTATAGGAAATATACGGAAAACAGTGTGGAAAACATCCATACTGATGGTGTGGTGCAAAGGTTTATACAATGTACCTGTTCTGTAACTTGCGTAATTAACAACAACTCCACTCTCATCAGATTTGGTTTGTGTGGTACCCTCTGATGCAAATTTGACTTGCACATTCTTCATTTGTTTTAATGTGAAATAGGATTTAAAAGAAGGAGATGAATGAGAACAAATCCTTTTCTCAATGAATATCTCTTGGCCTGTTGTGTTTGTACCTACAAGATGGAACATAGGACACAATTAATGAAAGAGTACCATACCCTTTCTTGGTTTCCTTAGCATTTTGAAGTAAGAAAATGTTGACAAAGAGTGAGAGGTCTTGGCTTTACTTCAAGTTTATTGTTGAGGCTGCACACTGTAGCTAGAGGAACCTGGTTGCAGGATGTCCAAATGTTCCTCCTCAAGTAATAGGGTGCCCAGCTCTTGAAAGCTTTTATAAGCAGAAAGGTTTAAAAGTCATCAGGAGATGTTGCCAATGGAACACAACTACACAACTTTGGCCAAATTAATGCCAGAGAAACTTGCATTTAAAAAACCATGACTAAATTTTCTTGACTGGTATTTTCCTTCCAATCATGACATCTAAATTGAAAATCTGTTAGATTTAATGCCTCACAAAGATTTGTCCTGCTCCAAAGCAAGATAATGGCACCTTGAAAGATTAGTGAAACTTGACAAAATCAGATAAATTTTTATGGTCCTTGACTTCATCTCCATCCATAAAAACATAAAAAGAGAACTCAGCCAATATCCAGTCATCTTAACCTCATGTTTGGTCATAAACCCATCTGTTCAGACCAAAATTACAAGGTTGGTAATAAATTAACCATATCTCTAGGTTCAAATAGATGACGAAGATTTCAATTGAAACAAACTTTTGAATTAAACTGGCAATGCAGTAAAACATGTTCCACCAAACAGACCATTATTATAGCACACCTACCAGTGATGCGTAACTCATCCTCCTCGTTTTCCCTGTTTTTATTGCAAAAAGGACTTCCTCCCAATTTAAAGCTTGTATAAAACAAGCGAACTTCCCTTCCTGATGGAATTGAAAAATTCCATGTACACCCAGCATTTTGATGGTAAGTCAAAGGCCAGTTGGGAGTAAAGAATGTTCCACTTGCTTGGTTAAAAAACTTTTGGCTACATATCAAAATAGGTAAAAAAACCATTTTAAATTAGGTAAAAGTAGCTCTATATAAATGGCAGTGTTTAACAAGGATTTCCAGCCCTAGAAAAGCCATAACCACACAAGTGTAAAATTACAAAAAAGTTTTGAGTGTGTTTGGTATTGTCAATTAGCTGCTGACATGTCATCTGCCTTACAGGCCACTCTGTCAAGTTAATGAATGAACGAAAAAGTGTTCATTCAGTAATAAGGTCAACTTTTCTTATAGTAAAGGCCTGTTGTGTTTATCTAAGCCCCACCTTGTACCAGGACCTACTTTGATTGTTTCAGTGAAAAATCTGTCAACAAGTGACATAAAATAAGTGGAACCCCCAGTTTATCCGCCTCCCAGTTAGCTCAATGGATAGAGCGCTGGACTGTTGTGCGGGAGGTCGAGGGTTTGAGCCCCGGCCGGACCAACACTCAAGGTCTTAAAATAATTGAGAAGAATTCGCTACCTTTCTATAACATCAAGAAATGGTTAGATATTCTAGTCTTCTCAGATAGGGACAAATAAGTGGAGGTCCTGTCTCCTGCAGAGTTGGGGTAGGAGACGTTAATTTCCCACACACGAGATTACTGTGTGATGGATGTCCTCCCCTGGGGTGGGATGGGTGGGAAGGTGAAATTGATAGACTGAAGCGGCTGCCATAGGCACCTGATATGCTGATGTCTGTTCTCAACCTTACACTGCACCCGTAATTCAGCCTCTGGGCTGCAAGTGGTCAGATATAAACTATATTCATATTCATATATTCATCCATGTAATCTTTTTTCTTTCAAGGGTTGGATTTGAATTGTCTGAGACACATCCCCTGGGTCCAGTAAGAAAATAATGTGTGGTTGCTTGTAAATATTGAATTTCTCTTCCTGTGTTAAACATGATTTCTCACTCATTTGCCAAGCTCACTAATGAGATATCATGTTGAATACTCCATTTTATGAACACCCATGCATTAATTTCTCCATGACAAGACTGATAACAATAATTATATCTCAGATGATAATGATTACCACTATCTGTATCATTACCATTTCAATAATAAATCTTGAGAATGGGAAAAGAAATTTAACTTGATGAAGTAAATGATCCAGTTGAAAACAAGCAGTTAGATTGACAGAAAATGATAATCGCACATAGATCACAAGAAATAAATTTAAATACGAAAGACTTACAGACCTGCAGTTTGAGGTGGGATCCAGTTTTGTGTTATTATCCATTGAAGTATAATTTGCTTCAAACCCTGTATTCTGGCCTGACCCATCAGTTTTAAAAATAAGGGTGATGCAATGGTCCAAAGAATAAATTTTCTCTGGCATTACCAACTCTGAGCAAGAGCAAAATTTTCCCAAATGTATGGAATTGTCATTACATCTAAAAGACAAGGTTAAAAATGTTACAAGTATAATTCCCTTTTATGCAAACCAGAGTTATATGGATATTTCTTCAAATTTGCGTTAATTATTAACACAACATGTGCAACTACTTTTCAGGTATCAACCTCCTGTCTGTGCCATGTAAGGAATAAAGTTAATTCAAGGAGTGTGTGAGATGAAGAATTAAATGGGTGGTTTGCAACCAATCTCTAAAGAAACAGGTAACAATGGTGAAAGGAACAAATGCTGGTGGACGAACAAAGGAAGCTAATGAGATATGTATTGTTTATTGTCGGTGATGACCTAACGTGCAAACCACCTAGAAGATTTGATACAACATAAAATTCCTCAGCAGTTTTCCAGAAAAATATAACACATTTTATAGGAGAATCTGTACGAGTACATGTGAATCTGAAGTCACTAATGCTTTTTGCAATCACTCCTTAATCTAGGCGTCCAGAGCTTTCTCCACAAAAGGAACAAAAAGTGATGTTATAGAGAAATACGTGACTTGAATCTGATCTAATATTGTCCCTATACATAAAACACGATGTAAAATATTCCATTAACGAAGGCAAGCACTAATTTCTTACACATAGCTACATTCAACGGCGAAAATCGCGAGTGTAATCATTATTGGCCAAAGTTTAATTTCTGGATCAAGGAAAAGTTTAAGTTAATTTACATTAAAAGAGAATAAGACTTGTGAGGCACTTGCGTGCTTGTAAGTTAGGTTTTACAAAATTTAAGCCTCAAATATTTTACTAATTTCGTAAACTTTCAGTCGGCACACAAGACTTGTTCGATCACGCATTTTAACGACTCCTTTCGAGAAGAAAACATCTACAGCACCTACCCCACTATTATTTCCAAAGAATCTTGTTCGCACTCTGGCATCATTCCTGCTATCTTCAGCTTCTTAAATTCAAGAATAGCTCTTCGGCCAACGGGAACTCGGATATCGTACGAACAATTAAGGTTGTTTTGATAAAATTCGCCCTCATGAGAGAGCACGGTTCCAGTCAAACCATCGTATTTAGACTGCGGACAATCGGCAAAAGAAGCCCCAGGTGAACTGAAAAGTAACATGAAGGAAAGTAGGAGCATTTCTACGTCCATTTTCCGTATTTTTTTAAATGATTCGTCAACAGTAAAATAGAGAGAGAACGATGTCTTGTAAGCACGGGGAAGTACTTCTTCGAAAAGGCACCACGGTCGTACTATATTTACACTTCCTTTTCTGGATAATGACTAGGTCCAGGGTTCTCTCAGTCTTTTTTCGATCAGGCCCTGGGGACGAAGTTATAACCTGAAGAAAGTTAGGCAGAGTGCTTGGCGGAGGGGATGGCTTCCGCGAAAAAACTGGTGACAAAACAAACTCATTTTGAACCCGTAATTACCTGTAGCTCAATCTCCGATGGTTACATAAATTGAATAACGATAGCTCCCGAAAACAAATAAGAAAAGAGAAAAAATAAAAGAACAAAAAGGGAGAAATGGAAAGGTGCCGTGGTCGTGGTCGCCTTCCATTGACGTACAAATGCACATGTTCCTTTACTATGGAAAAAAATCATACTAAGTACTCTCGTCTACTACGGTAACGTACTTACAAGGGAAAATTTTATATAAATATTTGTTGCTTTTTATAAGTCAGCTTATTATCTCTTGCTTTTAACTACGAAAGTCTCATGACGGAAGAGCCCTCGGGCTGCGGCATGAAGCTCCAAACCCAGATACGAGAAGTATACCTGGAAATTTTAATTGATGTCTCTAGAACCAACTTCTGTGATAGCGGTCAACCGTGGTACTAAAACGTATGCCACCCTTCCCCGGCACAAAGGTACCATCTTTGAAAATGTTTTATCAAAGTGCCAACAAGCTGACCGATCTCGAAAACTTTCTTTATCTGCGAACAAATGGAGCCGAAATTAAAACAAATTCATTTTGCCTGATCACAGGTCTAGTAATATAATCAATCTATGGGTGCTTACTTGAGTCGAAAAGAAGTAGTTCGAGAGAAGTTTTTCAATGCGTATAATGTTAGGGCTATGATCGCGCAAACTCAGAAATGGCTTTGGAGAAGTGGAAAAAATTAACATTTGCACATAACCTTTTAACTGAACTCTTATGCTCATTTTACTCCTTCCGTAGTTTTTTTTTTTTTTTTTTTTTTTTTTTTTGGTACTATTTTTATTTTTTTACTGCGTTTCAGAAACACAGAGAAAAAAATTTCACTGAGTTCACAAATTATTTATCTCCCAAGAGAGTGAAATATTTTTCTTCTGGTCTCCAATAAACAGCTGGCAGAAGAGCATCAAAGTCAAAATTCCCTTTGTTATCAAGACAACAAGCCTTTTCATCCATTTCCTCCTTGGATACATAAAGCTCCAAGGAGGAGTGCTGGTTTCTATGGGGTACTCTCTGATCCATTACATGAGCTGTCCAAGTATTCATCATAATTCGCCCGACGTCTCTACCACTATAGTTATTTGCACCTTTGTAACTATTACTTGCACTGGATATTCTTTGACGGTTCAAACACTGATATGTTAGGGGAGCATGGACTTGTCTTTGATTTCCGCTGCCTGGGAAAATAGCCGGCAGTGCCGCTGCCGGGTTTGTTGTGAGTAAGTGCACAAGTTGAAGACTGTTATCGCCATGTTGGGTATGGCCTTCGTCTAAGGGATCTTTTATGTAAGAGTGATCTCTTCCAGTCTTATGACAAAGTTCCTTAACATGAGTAATTGAGTTCTTGTGAGAATGATCCATTTAGATTTTTTTTTAAGACCGGAGATAATCTCTTTGACATTCACCTTGCTGGAGTGTTTTTTCCTTAGCATTACGTCATAGAGACGTATTTTTATTACGCGCGCGCAGAAAATCGAGGATCAAGCACGATACGAGAATGGAATCTTTGGAGGGACCAGCCTAGGTGAGTTCTTGCAGTTTTCGTAGCCCTTTAACGTCCTTTGGCTGTAATAGTGGTTTCCGAGGCGAGATCAAAAAACGACTGCAAAAGAGAATTAATGTCCTTGTTTTGGGGAATAAATTCCTATGAACGGAGAATGGAGGATTTGAGACAGTGTACATTGAAAAAAATTATAGACGAGCATTAATGAAGATTTTTTGATAAATTCCTTCAGCTTGAGGCGAAAATTTAGTTCAGCTGTCGACCCCGGATGTTCATTCAGCCTGGCCTCCTGCACTCGTCGCGATTTGTTGCCTGGCGTTTTCCGGTGTTGCTAAGCAATGTCTTTTCACGCGGAGTTAGTAAGTGGAGTTATGAAGCCGCTATGATGTGGAGATATGTGATCTAAAAAAACTTCTGGATCCCGGTAGATAAAGGCCAGCGAATATGTCTCAGAAGAAATTTTCTGGGGCACCATTCGGAGTACAGACTTCTAGGTGAGTGCGATTTATGAGGGCTACGAGCAAGTTGATGTCAAAATTATTGGCGCGCTTGAGTCTGTTTCTTCGAAATCAATAACTTCATTATACCTGTGTTCATTCCTTATAAATTCATCATTCTCGTAGCATTATTAGGAAAAGGAAAGAAATTTTTGACCTAAGATTTTAAGATCTTTGTAGATGAAGAATTTCGTGCTTCACTCGTGGTCATGCAACACTTGTTCAGGCTTGTCAACATATTATTCTGGAATGCACCCACACAATGCACTACAGTTAAAAAGACACTGTGATATCGAGTACGGATAAATTTTGATAGAGCCAGTGTTAGAAGCTTCACTATGTAGTGGCTTTAAGTGACATTTCAAAAATTTTACCCAGATTGCCTTCAAAAGAGAATTGATTTTCTCTGGAAAATCTTCACAAGGAAATGTTAACTGAGAAAAAATTCCTCATTTGAAATTTGCTCTGATCAAACCATGGATTTCAATTTTGATTTGTAGGTTTGATGTTGCTGGAATTCATCCAAAAAGCAAAATACCTGGGACAATAACACAAGTTGCATATGACAAGAAATGCATGTCAGATGTGGTGGGTTTTCTCTTGATCATTATAGCAATACTGCATAAAAACTTACATGTATTATGCTTTACCCTGCCGAGGTGCTAAAATCGTCTCATACATGAACTATAGATAGTAAGATATATTCTGGTTTGCAATATGCCATTAGAAATAATGCAGGAAATGGTCAGGCAAAACTGGGTCATGATTTCCAATGAAGCTACAAACAGCCAGTCTCAATGCTTGCTTAGAGATGGTTGCAGGTTAATCCAATTATTGGCCTTTTATTTGAAAAATAGCTAATTTAGGGATATCAGAATTGTAGCATAGGGAGGTGACTGTAAACAATTGATTTTTTCTTGTTGACACAGAAGTAGTGGAATTTTTGGTGATGAAGGACAGTTTTTTCTTGCCCTAGAATCGCCGTCTTGGACCAGGTTCATATAACATCAATGTGGGTGGATTCAATCCCAAGTCTGTCTTTGAGAGATCTTCTGGACCTGGTAAAGACGTTGGAATTTTCTTTTGGTTAACACAAATTAAAATAATACTCTTTTAAAAAATTGTCATTTTACGACAAATTCTAACTATCCACCAAATGGAAAAATACCATGGAAAAATGCCCTGTGATAAATCACCATAATTAGCTGCATGATCATCAAAAAACACTAATTACTGTTCTTACACAAAATCATTGTTGGTCAGCAGTGACCTTTATTTGAGTGGTGGCTCCTAAGGGAGCTGGGTTTTTTAGTGATAACTTTGAGAATGAAGTGTTTATTTTTCTTTTATCTTCTCCATGTGTTTATTTTAATGTTATCTATACTTACTGTGGATAATTAGAATGGGAAAGGGCAAATGGAAAAAAATACCCCTTTTTTTACCCCTTTTTTTTTACCCCTTTTTTGGGACACACTTGCTTTAAACTTTCAGCCATTTTGTTCAGTAGTTGACAAATGAAGAACTTTGTACCTGATCCAAAAGATTCATAATAGCTGCTTGTGAACAATTACATTACAATGAAAAAATTTTAAGGTCAGATTGGATGGGTTGGACTGTTGATCAATTGGTGGGTAGATGACTGCTATATTTGACGTTAATGGGTGATTTCAATTGGTAATTGGGCAATAATCATTCAGTAGATAGTCAATGTCTTTGTTGAGATGTCAATAGACTATCCATCATCTGTCAGTGTACAAAACACGTACAATCACCGTAGACCGACTATTCTCAAATATCAACAAAGTTGAAATGGTAAATTGGCCACCGTAATGATTACAAAGGCTGAGGTTTTGAGCGTTAGCCCTTCGTCGGAGCGAATCTTTCGTTACCCCGACCAACGCAGCCCCAAACAGTTTCTTTCGAAACTGTCAGCCTTTATTCTCAAATATATCAACCGCCAATTGAAAGTTGAAGATAATTCCTCAATATACATGTACCGTATTTTTGCTTACCACCAGAATGATTTTTGCATGAAAACAAACTGAGAACTAGTCAAACTTTAACAAGAAAGGGTGGTATGTCTTAAAGCTGAGCATTTCTGCTAAAGAGAAAAAAAACATTTCTATGAGAGAATACCATAAGTTGACTGTATATTTGGGTATTAGCGGTGCAATCACTGTTGGTCAATGACTTTTATTCAAGTGGGGGTCCTAAAGGAGCTGTTTTGTTTAGTTTAACCTCAAAAATGAAGTTTTTTATTCATCTTGTAGAATAATATTATTCCATCAGTTTAATGTCGTCTATTGTTTACTGTAAATAACTAGGATGGGAAAGGGCATTTGAAACAGCTCGCCTGGCAAAGATACCTCATCTGTTGTACAAAGAACAATGGGAAAAGAAGCAACTACAGGTAACTATTATGTGAATGCTAAATATGCAATTGTAACTACAAGCTGGATTGATAATTGATGGTTGTATGTGGAAAAATGCATTTTTTGCATGAAACGTGAATCCTTGAACCTGACTAATGCCAAATTTTCCTCTCAAATTATTCACCAAATCTTTTCCCTGGCTTGTATCCATTTCTATAATTTTTAAGGAAATTTGTGGCACTCAATTAAAATCATTTACTTTTGATTTAATCATTTTACTTGGAACTCATTCTAATTCCAGTTTTCAAAGTCTGTGTTTTATTTCAACAGAAGCAACTTCTTGGTCCTGGAACATATAACATCACTAATTTTATTGATCAAATGAGCAAAAAGCCTGGGAGTACAAGGGGTGTCTGTGAAACCAGAGAAGCAAGATTTGATGCTACAAGATTGGTTTGCGATTTGATTGTGTGGCCAATAATATTAATCTTAATTTATTTAGCACAGTCAAATTCGATCTAACCTCCTTGTAGCCAGCATATTAGTTAAAGAACTCCAGTCAAACATCCAAACAGTCCGAGATTGAAGTTTTCCTCATTATTTTACCTCTGAAGTCAGTTTACTTTCAGATCCACCACCTTTGTGGTGTGCTCAGTCTCCAGGCTTTTTTTAAGTCTGATCTTTGATCTACTTAAAAGGGTGTATTTAGGACAGGAACTGTGTTAGAGCCTATCCACAATTGAGCATCCCCAAAATGTCTAATCAAAGCTTAGTAACCCTGTAATCCCTAAGAATGATTAGCATCTTATTACTCCTTACATCATCACACTGAATCAAAAATTAAGGTAAAGAGAATAATGGAAATGATCAGCATCTAAAGAAGTTCCTGATTGTATAACAAATTCTCCTTGTCAGCACCTTGAGGAATGTATAAAGAATAGTATGGAGAACATGCATACTGATACAATGAATATATGAAGGTCATATATTTTGAACTGCGGTATTAGATAGGTATGATGCACGATCCTCGCAGTAGAGAGCACTATTTATGTAATAGCGAAAATCAGACCTGAAAAAAATCAGGCCTGTACGGAATTTTTTTCAGGTCTGATTTTCGCTTTTACATAAATAGCACTCTCTGCTGTGAGGATCCTTCATCATACGTATGCATACTGATGTTAGGCTGTTAGGGGTTAAGTAATTGCAACTACCTATAAATGCAAAAATAAATTGAAAATTACAGAGTATGCATATCTTTTGTTACCTTTTTTTGAAATACTGCAGAGTCAAGTGCCAGGGCCAGGAACTTATGGTAAGGGAGGGATACCAAGTGCTGTGGTTGAAGAGAAGGTGCAANCAATTCTTCGCACTGTAAGGTACTCAAGTAAGCTGGAAAGGAGGAGCATGAGAATTTGGATTGAGACAAAGAACAAGAACCGATGAACAGGCGACCAACGAACCTCCATATTGAAGTAGGGGAGGTTCCTGGAGAAGGAAATATAGTCATGCAAAAGACACACAGGGGACCGACAATCGCGCCATCGGAACCCCGGAGATCAGTACGAGCCAGAACGTCTACGTGGGAAACAATTTACAGAGACTTCAAGCCTCACTAAAGAAAAGGGAGGAGGTGTAGTGTCCAGGCCTCCAAGCCCACGCCCAAGGCCCCAGGAGACGTTTACTAGAGTATTTATTATGCATGGTAAAGTGAGAACGGGGTGTGATACAATCTAGGAAAACGAACAACTAAAGGAGCTGTAAGCGAACTGTAAGCGAGCTGTATAAGCGAACTCCAGAACGTTACATTTGCGGTTTTGTAATAGGCTCCAATGTCCCCCTCCTTTATAAAACAGGTAATGAGAATACTCAAAATTACCAAGTAGAAGTTTTCATCTTGATCTAACCCCATCTTCTGGTGACTTATTTACAAGAAAATGTGTGACAGTTAGAGAGGAGAATTAACAATCAGATCCTGGGAGTTAAGGAGAATAAGACATGGATGTGCAAGAATTATTAGATCAAGCAGAAGTTTACCACATGGACTTGTTTCTTTTATTGTTGTTGTTTTTTTTTCAGTGTAAACAAGTGTACTGGAATGTGGTGATAAACATGAAAAATATTAACTGTACAGTTGACGCCAAATGACTCAAACCATCAAGGGAAATTGAAAAAGGTTCAAGTTGAAAGCAACTGTAGTTAAACCAATGAAATGTGACTTGAACTGACATGTTTTGTGCAATGCAAAATAGGACAAAGATTATATGGCTGCTTTAAAACAAATGGAATGTTTTGGACAGCAGTGCACTGTTTGTTTTGATTTGTTACATATTGACAGATGTAGTTTGATGTGGTTTGAGTTATTGAGGGTAAAAATAGACAGAAAATGACCTGGTGGAAGGAAACAACAATTGCTTCGAGTTGGTGGGAGGTTTGAGTAATGAAGGTAAAATTGCAGTAAATGTAGGACAGAAATCCAGGCAGAATAGATTTTTGTTTGAGCTACTACAAGGTTTGAGTTAGCAGGAATTTGGAGTTATTGGGAGTCAACTTTATATACAATCATCTATCTATACGTATGATGCACGATCCTCACAGTAGAGAGCACTATTTATGTGTTGGTAGAGTGCTGCACTAGTATTGCAGAGGTCAGTGGTTCGAATCCCGTACAGGCCTGATTTTTTTCAGGTCTGATTTACGCTATTGCGAAAATCAGACCTGAAAAAAATCAGGCCTGTACGGAATTTTTTTCAGGTCTGATTTTCGCTTTTGCATAAATAGCACTCTCTGCTGTGAGGATCCTTCATCATACGTATGCATACTGATGTTAGGCTGTTAGGGGTTAAGTAATTGCAACTACCTATAAATGCAAAAATAAATTGAAAATTACAGAGTATGCATATCTTTTGTTACCTTTTTTTGAAATACTGCAGAGTCAAGTGCCAGGGCCAGGAACTTATGGTAAGGGAGGGATACCAAGTGCTGTGGTTGAAGAGAAGGTGCAAAAGTCCGTCAGTAATGTAGGAATGCTGGATTCTGGAAAGTCGTACAAGAGACAGCTTCCAGAAGCGGTATGTACATGCATGTCTAATAGTCTTACAGTGTTACTTGCACATTGCTTGGTGAATACCACTTGAAGAGTTAGCAATATTTTTTCTTTGGAATGTTTGAATAGGGAAGTCGTCTGTGTCCTGGACAATATGAGATGAAGAGCTTCACCGATGAGATGGAAGCAAGAGTAGTTAGCAAAAGAGGACCTTATGATCTCTTCACTGGTGAAAGGAACAAGCCCGTATCTGTGGGATACTTTGCTCTTCCGGTAGGATTCTAATCATATAATTTAAGTACGAAAGGTTGACAAAAGCTTTAGAACAACCCACAATTCACACACAACCCACAATTCCTCTATTTGCTCCGACGAAGGGCTAACGCTTGAAACGTCAGCTTTTGTAATCGTTACGGTGGCCAATTTACCATTTCAACTTTGTTGATATCTCCAAATTAAAAGCTTTAGAAATTAAGTGTCTTTGACCCAAGATGGTATTTCCTTTATTTTTCAGGGAAAGCAAACTTTGGGTCCTGGAGAGTACGACTTAAAATCATTCTTGCATGAGCTGCATGGTAGGCAATTTTACAGGCACTACTTTATCTGTGGCTTCAACACATATGCATTTTTATTAGTTGCAGCAGGCAAGATACTATGCAAAATGAAAAATCTGTTTTAAGGAATTCCCCATCCTTGATCTAGACAAGAAATATTATCAACCAATCAGATTGTCAGGATGTTAAAGTTAATTAGAGTGGTTTGAAGCATATATCTGGTTGGTAACAAAACAGCAGTGCACCCTGATTGGTTAGATAAAAATGCAACACTGACGCAAGAAAAGGGGATCAATGTCAATATTTGACAAACTGCACACATACCCCTCCCCTAATCCAACAATTACCTTGGGTTAGTTGACTGTTGATTTGGTAGGGGAGGGGTAGATGCGCAGTTGCATTAACCTACTTACAGTCATTTTTCAACAATGGAAGGACTAAGCTAATGAACAGAGCTAATTTTCATGTACTTATGAAATCATAATTTTTTTCTTTAGATAAGCATCAAAACCATCACGGAGTCTTCCTGAAGGTGCAGCGCTTCCCACCATACCCAACCAACAGGATCTACTGTTCAACATTGAGTCAATACCCAAGAGACTCTGTAAGTTTTTTTTTCCAAGGTTTGTCCCAATTTGTGATTGGCTAAGATGCCTTTGTATTACTTGTTTTTTAGTGCAATTCATGCACAATAATGAGTCAAGTATCATAGTCAGAAATAGTTGGGGTGACAACACTTGTAGGCTCAGATATTTTTCTGTTCTGCTTCTTTCCATGAGACAAACACGTGACTGTGACTGTATGATCTATGAATTTCTTCATCACTAGACCGACCCAGGACCTGGAAACTACTCTCCTCAGGAACTTACTAAGCCAGAGGCAACTGTTAGACCACCCTTTGGCTCAACTGCGGACCGATTCGACCGTCATGCCAGAAGATTCTTCCTGGGAAGCATAGTATGTCTTTACACAGAGTAACAATAGCACCAATATTAATTACAACATAACCAAAGCAAAGCGCGCGCTCTGATTGGTCAATTTAGCGTCCCCCATTTTCCCATGGGTGTACGCTGCTGACGTGAGCAAATGCAAAGACTATTTTTCCGCGCGCGCTTGTTTTTTCTAGTCGCGTAAGATTTGTTAATTAAAAGGGAACTCTTTAGCTACAATGTATCAATGTTATGTTATAAAACAAATGGTAAACACCACAGCATACACTATTGAGTTATGGATGCACTTGGGAGATTTGCTAAGCACCCAAGAAGCTAAGAGTCGCTCTCGGCTATCGCCTCGAGCGACTCTTACGCTTCTTTCGTGCTTAGCAACCTCCCGCGTGCATCCATAACTCAATAGTGTACGCTGTGGTGTTTACCATTTGTTAAATATTCTACACATAAATTAGGTCAAAACAAATTCAAGTTAACTCGTAGTATTGCGTTGGCCATCTGTACCAATTAATTGACCTAGGTCAGGCGCTTAAGTAGAACTCAAGATTTTTCTTTATCTCGGGAGGTATAGCCAGGGAAGAAAGTAGTCATTCTATGGTTGCACAATGTAGTAACAAGTGTGGTGACCTACCATTTTTTTAACTCTTGTTTGGACTTGAGTGGTAACTTCTTTTTTTTGAAAAATGTGGATTTAGTAAGTGAACTTGCCAGGTGATCTTACATATCAAGAGGATTAGACATTCTCTTGTACATATGAAATTGATCACCAGGTACAGGTACTGCTATTCGTAAGCGAATGTTGCTGGTAAAACTTGTTTTGTCATTAAAATGTACGTAGGCAGCCACCGGGCAAAAGTTGATGAAAATCGGAATGCTGGTTCTATTTAAGGCGAATGACTTCAACCTGTTACTTTTGATAAATTTTCAGAATCCAGTTGGTCCTGGGCGATATGATGTGGATCGCTATGACAAGGCACAGCACAGTAATGGACATAGAAGTGCTTTCAACTCTAAAGCCAAGAGATACGATCTTATACGGGACAAATACTTAACGTCAGTATACCTTGCAAACACATTTAATGCCCTTCACTCTTTCGCTTTGAAGATTGACTGAAATAACCATGGTATAATAGTCCATTTTACAGTTGTGTGCTTGGTTGCCAAGCCTTTGGACGGGAGTGAGGCTACGGGTGACCTTGTTATGTGACCTTGCTGCCTTTCACTTTGTTATCCTGCTAACTAGATACAGGTCTCTATCACAACAAGGTCACCTTTAGCCTCACTCTGAATCAAAGGCTTGGCAACTTAGTACACAACTTTAAAATAGCCTATTGTAGATGAATCTCGCTACAAGAACAATGCGATCGACTTCGGCGTTGATTGCACGAACATTTGACTATTGTCGGATGAGCTGGTGAGCTTTGTTACCGCTCTTATTTTTTGTGTTGATACTTCTCCTTAAAGTCTTGCTTAGTTCACTTTACTCTATAGAGCTAAGGGCTCTAAAATTCCATTTTTATTTGGAACCCTTTTCAGAGCTAAGTCAAACCAAATACAGAATTTACGCTCAAGTAATCTAGTTATTTTCATCATTCTTTATTTTAGATAATTACGCGTCATGACACATACATTGACCACTTTCATAAATGGCTGCGAGATTAATATTCTTTTGTCTAAATTTAAATTAGCCTTTCTGGCCTCGTTTTCCAGTACAAAATTCAAAAGAATACATCATCTCAAGCGAGGCCAGAAAGGCTAATTTAAATTTAAACAAAAGAATATTAATTCGGCAGCCATTTTTGAAAGTAGTCAATAAATCACAGCACCTAATTCGCGCAAATGAAAATGATTTGAGAAACTAATGAAAATTGAAAGCAAAGACGAACATAGCCTAGTGTGACCGTACCCCCTTTGGAGAAACGTCCCCCCCTTCCGTTTCTCCCGGGGGGAGAGTGTGGCTACATGTAGGCTTAGACGAAAACACTTCCAGAAGCGTAAAGCTGGAAGAGAACGCGAGGTACCAAAGAGGGTTTGATATTGTTTTATATATCTGATCGGTTAAGAGATTGGTAGAGTTTTCTAGGCCAAGCACGAGGCGTCATAAAGCACAAAACCAACCCAATGCCATATTATTTGTATCACTCAATCGGAAATGACTCTGAATGCAATATTTCCTGATTGTAAAGAAGGTTGATGGTGAATCTTACTTTTTTTCTGCAGGGAACGGATCAAACCAAGTGAGGTTGACAAAGTTTTCATGGTCCCCATTGATGCACAGTAAAATTACCAAGCAAGCTTGTTCTAGCAATGGTACTTCAAGGATTTATTTCGAATTTTCTCATCAAGAATATTAAAGAAGAGTTAAAAGTATTTAGTAGCAAATAGCACATTTCCCAGTGCACTACTTTTTGTAAATCGAAAATTCAGCTTGTATGTTTGGGAAACAATTTATGCATGCTTTATTTCCGGCGAAAGGGCGGAAGCCAGTCATATGTTTTCTATTAATGCGTGAGATATTTTTTTTTACACAAATCAATTACTACTTAGTGTTTTTATCTGGATGATATTTTAGTATTGGTTTCCTTAAAAAATTTTCATGGAACAATTTATGACTCTGTGAACGATATAGACATATAACATGAATTTCGACATGTTAACAGTAGGTCTTCAGGAGTGCAGATCTTTCATTAAATTTTCGTACGAAGCGTTTTTTATCATCGGAAAATACACCCAATTGTAATGGAAACTCCAAGTTTCAAGTGTTTTGATTAAAGCCATACATTTTGTCTTTCTTACATTTGATATAGTTGTGTTAATGTGAAGTCAAAAATTGCGCAGAGTGTAATGACAGGACAGGACAAAAGCCGTCTTAAGAATTGCAATTCTTTTGCACTTATCCCTATAATTTTCTGGCACTACAAGAAACCGATTCTTGAAAAATAAATCTGAATGGCTTGTAGAATGATTAAACGAAAGTTGAAAAATAAACAAACCAAACTGGAAACGAGTTGCAACGAGATTCCGCGTTAAATTTTGCACAAATAATAGTTGCAGTAGTAACTTGAAGACCAATCCACTAATCATGAAACAATTCCATTGCAATGTTTTCAGGTCGAAACTAGAAATAAAGTTTACATCAATTTTCTTTACATCATTTCCACTCTTAGTATTAGTGTTATTTCTCAGCCCGAGGTGGCACTGTCAACTCCTTTAATTCTTTGAGCAGATTTCCTTCTCACAACCTAAAATGAGCTCAAATTCTAGTCGCCATTGCAATGGAATCGATCTCAGACAATGAAATTCTATTTCAAGTTGATATTTTACCTTCGGCTCTAAGTTACCTTGGCTTCAGAGTATTTCTTTTTTTGCTCGACTAACACAACGAGGCTACATTTTGTTCATCAAAATCACTTAATAATAAAGGAAAATCACAGACAAATCGTCGACATTCAAATAGATTCATGTATGTTGCTGTGAATCCTCACTATAATATTGCTAGAAATGTTGTGCAAACTATTTTTTTCATATTCTTTTTGGAATTTTTTACACCATCCCAAACAATTGTCGATCGAAGATAGGATGGCAGGCTCCTGAGGAGTGATTTGATGGGCATAAATGAAGTGTTCTTTAGAAATTTTCAATCAAAAGCTTCATTCCATAGTACAGTAACTACAAACTCATCAATCATATCTAACTACATATCAGAATCCCTTTTCGAGCAACATTTGTTTGTTTCATTGCATAGATCTGACTACTGTTCCTTCTAAATTTGGTATACGAACGGTTTTGGAAAGTGTCTTACCCGGCTGGGTTTTTTCCTTTGCCTGAAAAAAAAACAAATATAAAGTTTCTATTAAGTTGAGAATCATTTTAAGCTTATTTCTAAGGGAAGCTTGTAAACGTTTCTTCACACACTGGTTGAAATGTGGACTATTTATGACCGAAAATCTAAGACTTTGAAATCATTGTCACAGAAGGCTAGTTGGAGAAGTGTCACAGCGCTAAACTCCATCTTTTTTATCCTAAGCCATGTTTGCACACAAGCCGTAGACAACACTCTAGGCAACACTCTAGGCTTCTCTAACATCAATATAGGATGTAACGAAGAAAAGACTGCTACTTTCCCTGGGTGGAATACCCCAATAGAATAGTTTAAGATCACAGCAGAAATACGTGCTGTTTCTTTTGGGAAGGTACTGATTTTACTTTCACAACGCTACAATCTACGCAGCAGTACAGCTGAGAACCGCATTGTCAAGGAAATGCATAATTAAAGTGATCTACAATGGACTAACAACCTAACCAACAGGAAAAGTACTTCGACTAGCTGCATGAACACCCTACAAAAGAATTGGCATTTTTTGGCCTCTTGTCTGGTACTCAAAACTTTGTCTAAAAAAAGAATGGCCAGCAAGCGTGAGCTTACCCACCGTGCATATATATGATCTTGTCACATCTGTTCCAAGTTCTCAAAGGTGACGTCATCTCCAATAAGGACGAAGGGGGCCCAGTGACTCGGGGACTGGAAGTCTTGCGAGAGTCGAAGAGCAGTTGTGGCCTGGCGAACGGCTTCACTTGCCTTTTTGCCGACTTTTAAATGCTGATAAAACTTGCGCATGAATTCCAGGGTAGCCTCGTCATTAACGGCCCATAGGGTGGCAAGAACTGACCTCGCTCCAGCACCGAGAAAAGCTCGAGCGATTCCAATTACACCTTCGGCTCGAATGTTTCCAGTTGCACTATGGCAACAGCTTAGAACAACAAGCTTAGCTCGCACCTTTGCATTTTGCACTTCTGCCATTGTAAGGATAACGTCTTCTTCATCAAGTACCGGCTTGCGTTTTTCTGGGGGTGGAGCGAATGCAATTTCACCAGTTACAGAATTTCCGTGTGCAGCAATATGGACTAGGGCCGCCGTGTCAAGATTTTCAAGGAAACGTGCCTTGGTAGCTTCTTCTCCAAGTAGCGGTTCAACACCGAACAATCTAGCGATTTCTTGCGCTTCTTCGTTTGCATGTGCCAGTCCTGCGATCGATTCCTCTTTCTTCTTCGCTTTAAATAACACTGTGCCAACATCTGGATCCCCAACAATTACAGCTCCTTTTTGATCATGAAAGTCGGGTGGACACTTAAAAATCGCCTTCATAATTGTCAAGGATGGTAATACTCTTATTCTGTGTTGCGCCCCTAGGCTTTCGTTGTTTTCATTTCGAAGCGCTGCCCAAGGAATTCTATGGAGCTCTGCATCAGGAACAATGATGAGGTCTGAGGTGGCTTGGTCAGGCGACGTGCAGGAAAACAACACATCATGGAGTTTCTCCAATGCACTTGATCGATCTTTTGGAGTGATACGCTTCGATGGAGGGCAACACAACAGATCTCCTTTAAGTTTTTCCTCTTCTTCCTCGTTCTCTCGATCCTCAAGAAGACGTGTGTTTTCTCGCGATGGCAACGAGCGATCTTCACAATTCGCGGGGTGCTCATTAACTTTCATTTCCGAGAGCGCTTCGTCTAACAGACTCTTCCAGTTGTTAGCCTCCCCCACAAACTGAGGAGCAGAATTTCCTTGACTATTCCATAGTACAACATTCTCCTTTCCAGCTCCAGACAGAGCATAGTAGATTATCTGGCCTCCCAGACGAGAAACGACTTCACGGAGGCTTCCCTCATTGAGAGCTTCTCTTTGCCCGTCCTTTGGATCATGAAGACCGTACTTTACTACCATCATGTCAGCAAGCGCTGCGGAACGTGCTCGTTCGGTAACTAGTAGAGCTTCCTCGTGCTTTTCTTGCTGCAGAAGACACTGTGTGTAGAGACGATAAGAAGAAGCCTGTACGTCACTTAGAGAAACCTTGTATACATCCTTTTCGAAGAGAAGTCGTCTCACTTCCGCATACAGTTGGGTGCATTTTTCCAAGTGATCACAGGCCATTTCGAACTCTTTGGACTTTGAATAAGAAACGCCGAGGTCATAGTGGCAGGAGCCCATCTTGTCTAAGCTTTTCATCTTCTCGGCGAAACATAAAGCTTTTTTCTGAAACTCAATTGCCTTGGAAAGTTCATCCAATTTCAAGTAAATCTTTCCAAGATTTAGGCATCCTGTCATCTCACCGGCTATTTCTCCGATGGAGTTGGAGATAGAGATTTGCTTTTCGCTATGATGTATAGCTTCCTCGAGATTTTCCATGCGGTAATTGATCATTCCAATGTTGCCATGAGCGGTTGCTTCTCCTTGCTTTTCTTCCAAGGCTTCACAGAGTGACAGATGTCGCTGATGACATTCAAGCTCTTTTTCATGATCTCCCATCCGATTGTAAACATTTCCAAGATTTCCAAGCATCTGCCCCACCATGCGCTGATCTCCGGCTGCTTCAGCAAAGGGCACGGCTTTTTCGTATATATCTACAGCCTGTAAATACATACCGAGGGCTAGATAAGCATTTCCTATATTGGCGTACGAGGCACCTTCAAGTGGTTTATCTCTTATTGAACGGGCGATTTCGAGGCTTTCCTGGTAGCACTTGATTGCCTCGTTGTAATTTCCACGCTCAAAATGAATGTTGCCTACCTTCTCAACCGATCGCCCTTCCCCTCCTTTATTTTCCAATTCCCTATTTATTGCGAGATTGAATTGATGATGTTTCAAGGCATTTTCTAGGTCTCCGAGAGAGTAGTATATGCTTCCCAGGTAGGCATTAGCAAGGCCTTCTGCTGCCTTGTCACCGATCAACTTTGAGATTTCTAAGAACTTTTTTTGCATGAAAATGGCTTTTTCAAAATTTCCTAAGGATCTGTGAGTGTTTCCGAGGAAACCATACGCAAAGCCCTCGGTGGCTTTATCGCCAATTTCTTGCGATAACTCTAATAGCGTTTCAAGATTTTTCTGTGATTTTCTGTTTTCTCCTAGGGAGTGTTGCGCTCTTCCAATTTTTCCAATGGCATTTGCTTGCGCTGACTTGCTGTTTAGACTTTCTGCGATACGAAGGTAGGCTTCATAATTTACAATCGCTTTTCTTGTTTCTCCTCGACAATGATAAACATCACCAAGAGCCCCCAGTGCCCTTCCCTCGATAAACTTGTTTCCTATCTCTTTGGAAATTTTTAATTGCTCTTGATAAAGTGCAAACGCTTTGATGTAATCTCCCTTCGATAAGTGAACATTACCGAGATTTCCAAGAGCTATAGCCTGACTTTTCTTCTGACTAACTTCTCGTGCTAATGTTAGATGCTTCTCGTTGTGGAAAATGGATTCTGGATACTGTCTCTTCTTGTAATACACGACACCCAGACCTCCATTGGACTCGGCGATGGCTGCTTTATCGCCAAGATCAGTAGCAACTGTAAGACTTTCTGTTAAGAACTTTGTGGCGTTTGGGTAGTCCCCAAGCTCTGTAGAAGTGGTACCCAGATTGAACAGGCATTTCCACCTTTGCTTCTGGTGATCAGTGGTAGAAATAGCATCTAGGGATTTCTTATGGAATTCAAGGCCTATGGTCAAGTCTCCTAGCTTTGAGTAGGCACTTCCAACATAGGAATTGGCTAATGCTTCAAGATCTTTACGACCTGCCTCGTTGGAAAGGGAAAGGCATTTCTGCCCGTAAGAGAGAGATTCGACAAAACAATCCATAGCGAGCAAAACTTCAGCCAGGTTGCCGCAAATCTCGGCCTCTGAATCTTTGTTCGATGTTTCTTGTGCTAAGCGTAACGCTTGTTTTAACATTTCCGCTGCTTGCTCGTAATTTTTAAAGTGCTCTCCACTGACCTGAAGCTCTCGGGCTTTGGAAAGAAGATTTAAAATCTGATCTTGCCTTTCTGATGTTTCGCTGAGATGTCTTTGAGAATTGCGATCATCACTTTCGTTGCCTTCCATGGCGTTATCTGAAACGTTAAACATTGAGAACTATACTGCTTATAATGCATTTGAATGTTCACTACTTGCAATTTGAATAGCATTCATCCGGGCTTTTACAAAGAACCAAAAATCTGTCACGCCAGAGTTCCTTCTTGTCACGCTTAAAGTGTAAATGAAAATGAGTGAGGAAGAAAGGATAAACCCTCTCGACAGATAACCAGAACACATTTAAATATCTAAAATTAAAACTGTTAATTTTTAAAACCATGGCCGTGTTTCTTTAAAGGAAAAGCAGCCACAAAGGTGTTTTATCTCTTCGAACAAGCTTTTGTGTTTAACTTACTTCATTGTTTAACCGCTGACATTGTCAGAGCATCACAGTTTGTTTTTGCCTATCTATTTTAAACCAGACCTTGTGGATTAGTTATCCTGCTAGGTTTTGTTTTGGTACTTATTCTTTCGACCGATCTTGTGTTTTTCTTCTCCGTTCCCTTTCAAGTTATTTTGAAATTATACTTAGCTTTTCATAAGTAGGGGGTAAAACAGAAAGAGAGTGCTGAGAATGCATGTTATTTGTGTAGACTGTGATTAGGATGACCCTGAAAAGCAAATATTTTTCTTGCTTAGATATATCAAAGCTTAACCCCACAAGAAAAATGTGAAGGACCCTCACACAAATCGCAAATTAGTGACCTCTTCGCTATTAAGCAAAGATAATTTCTGTAAATCAGAGAAAGTTAAGGTCGATCAACTGAAGTAATCAATATTACCGCAGAAATCTGGAGCCCATGAAAACCAAAAATGAATATTATAAAAACCAGTTCAATGATGTCGTTTCAGTCAATGCCAGAGCAGAGGCACCTTCAGCAATATCAGCAAACTACCACATATACTCAAAGTCATATCAAAACCTGTCTCATTGAAAGGATCTAGCCGCATTTTCGTCACGTTTTTTTGAGAGATCTCTACCGTCGACTAGGAATTATTACGAATGGCACAAAATGCTAAGTGATTGCTTTCGCTGGCAATAGTGGGTTTAATTTACGGTTGACTGAATTTCAAAATTCTTTAACTTTGCCAGTTTCAGTGCGTAAAATAAATCATTTAACTTGTTTGTCGCAAATGGAAGATACACAGAAGTTTGACGGACGGATGGCTGCATCACTATCACTTCCAGCTTTTAACAGCTTAGTATGCATGCTGCGAGAACAGGAGTGAGATCCAAATGTACTTTTCGTTTTCGCTTCGTTTTCTCTGGTACCCAGGCTAAGTGGATAAATTTCCCCCCCCTTATTGCTGCTTCTATGAGTGGGTAAATTGTATTTGAAACGACGGAAGTGACTTTCTGTCTCAACGAAGTAGCTATCTCAAACAAGAAGGAATCACACTCCTTCGCTTTCGAATAACCTGCACGACGGCCTGAATAAACGAACAAAAATCATTCCTTTCTCTACAGTTTTTCTTTTTGACTGAGCATTCAAGTTTATACAGCCGGGAGGTAGTAAAATTGACATACCTCTGCGATTCTTCCTCCAAATCGTATGGTATACTTTACCAGCTTTAAAGCAGGTAAAACGAGTCTGTCTCTGTTAAATTTTCCTTGATAATTAGCTTCTCATCTTTCCTAGCAGATGGCCCTGGCCTAATGACATATGCATAGCTAATCAGGTTTTTTTTTACATATGTTCACGAAATTTCTACGAAATGGCGGAAACGGCTTGCTCGCGAATAACTCGAGAACTCAGAAATTACTCTGGTTAAAGACATTGATTTGTGGCTGTTGAAGTCCCTTTGTCGGATTAATTGTGGTCAGATCCCTCAACCAGTTGAGCTCAGGTGGTTCCCTGGTACAATGGTGTTTTTTAAGTTACATACAGAACAGCAAGTAATCTGCTGCGTTACTCCAAACCCATGTCACTTCCGGTTAATAACTACATGTGGGATACTTAAGAAGTCAGCACTTTGATTGTTGGGTAGAACTGAGCGTGTATTACACTCCCGTTTGGGCTGATTTCTTTGCATACATTACTTCTCAAACCGAAGCGAGCACTTTTGCATACAATAGACATGCGTATTTCACTTGTTTTACATCTACATTCAAATGAAATGAGAAAATATATCTGCGATTTTAAGAGCGGAAGTTCTCCCATCTCCACTCCTAGTCTTTATATCTATTTACCAACTTCTTTCTTAGAAACGTAGGGGTTAGCGGTAAATACCCCATCCCCACCCCCCCCCACCCCTCGCGATACTACTTTAGCAAGACTTATATTGTCCTCTTGTGGACGAATGGAGTCTGCGTTGCTATGGCTCTAATAACTCTGTGGCAAGTAGTCTATATTAAACGCTACAAGCTCAGAAAAGCGTCATAGGTTCTAATGCGAAGTTCTTGATTCATCTCGATGTCATTCGAGCACAATTTCCAAATAAATAGCAGAGGATTACATTACCGGAAATCGTTCAGACAGAATACGATAATATTACTTTTCATTTTGGAAAATGATGCGCTCGTGTGTAGCTTTCAGTTTTGTTTTCAGGATCAGACGTTGCTGGGGTGAATGTACTTTTTGGAATGTAGCATTCTCTGTTTTCATCAAAAATCAAAGTCAAATTTTGTCTAGCCTTGTATTTCGTCGATGAAAATTACAATTTGGTCTGGGGGCTTAAATCGATGTCACGGGCGTGACCGATCGCGACCATTTTGTTTGTACGCCCTTGTGTAACTCAATTGACATGACGTATTCAGATAAAGTTTCTCTGAAAAGAACGGGATGGGATGTTTACGTTTTGGGAGGAGAAAGCAGCTTTGTCCGCCTTGACCAATAAGAAGGCAGCGTAAATGCTCTTTGACCAATATTAAGAGTAGGGTATTCCCCAAATTCAATCACCGCATTACAGATGAAATTTGACCCTTGGCAGAGGTTCCAATTCTATTTAAAAACTGGTACACAGCTAGTTCCATTCAGGCAGTTTTACTACGCATTCACAGGCACTCATAAAGACGCACTCTTAAAGAGAGCAGCGAAAATATTTACTGTGAGACGGTTTGTGAAACATTCATCGGAGGGCTTAAACAAAGGTAACCAACCATGACTCCAGTCTTGAAGTGAATGATAATCATTCATTACTGCTAGCTATGGTAATTTACACGAGGTTTACTATCACTGACGTTAGTTTGTTTTTCGGGTGCCAAATCATACGCCATTCGGTAAGGTTTTTAACGCTTAAACGCTATCTGTAATTTTACTTTCTGACCATTTAATGTGGACTGAGCTAGATATCACGTTTTCTGAAACTTATACCGCTAGCCTTCAAGTTGACGTGGACTAAATTTCATTTGCGAACTGGAGGTCACACAAGGTCTGTGATCGATAAAGCACTCCGTAGTGTAAATAGCGAAAATTTGAGGCTAGCTGAAACAGTTGAAATGATAACGCGGTTAAGCTTTGAGTGCATTTTTACCACCTGACTAAACTTATGAGAAAAGCACACGAACAACTACATAACAAACCAAGCTCCCGCATGTATGGCTGACAGTCTAGTAGTTGAATTTTTGAAGTGTTTCCCAGAACTGACCTGGTATTGATTAATATGATAACATCTGGCGTGTAATAAATGAGAGACTGTAGCTCTCAGACGATTTAAAATGTCAATGAACATCGCTTATCATAAGATAATGCTTCATATGATCTGTAAAACAGCATTAACTCGCCCAACCGCTTAACAGTTAATTAGTCAACCATGCCCTATTTCCGAGAAGAACCGACATTCTGAGAAGATCATTCAGAGATTTATTCCTCTAGTATTGATTGAGTCAACAGCTACTTCATAGTCAGGGGTTTGAATAATGATCCTGACCGGCCATCGACTCCTTTTATTCCGCAGGCCGGAACTGAACAGTATTTGAACTGAACAGCATTTGAACTGAACAGCATTTGAACTGAACAGCATTTGAACTGAACAGCAACAAGAGCTTTGATTCACGAAACTAAGTGTTGTTCCTAAACCGGAATATGGACTTCACTGAGTCACAGGACGGAGAGGGATGGTATTTTGTCCAAAACAAAGAAGAAATCGGTGAGGCTCAGTTTTGTTTTGTTTTTTTCTTGTTTTCACTTCATGGTCGTTAATCTGTAAAAGCATTTATTCCTTTCACTTTCGATATGCTTAAAGTTAGCCATCCCGCATCACGCTACATTTGAGGTGGCTTGAATCGCTACTTCCGGCGTTATCTCTCACCGCGTGGTGAATCGGTGCAAAGTTGTATCAGCGATGTTTTGATATTGTTCAACCACTAAAAGCATTAATAGTTAAGGTAATGTTTACATGACAATCGAATGTTCTTGATAAACTAAATCAAAGTGCTATTAACGAAACATCTGCATTGATTTTCTACCTCAATACCATGACAGCCTGACTGCGATCAGTTTGGTTCAGAAATCTGTGAACTTTCCTGTTTTTACCCTCTCTTAATTTGCTAATTGCAAGGTATGTTACGGTCGTTAGCTATAAAGGTAGCTAACGAAGGAATAAAATGAAACAAGGAGTGGAGTTTGTCTTTTTCTTTATTAACAAATAAGGATTTCAGAGGTCACAGAAACTGGCATTTGGTCTTTTCCACTTTGGAAATAAACTTTGTACTATAATTGACTTGCCAATGAAACCGCAATGAAATTTCTATCGTGCTTATTATGAAAAAAGGTTTTTAAGAGCCAAAACATTGTTTAACTAACAATACTTCATGTGACCCGCAGATACAAAATGCTTGTTGAAAGAAGGAGGGCCGACAGAGGAAGATATTGAATGTATAGTCAGAGAAATAAGCGGCAATCCTGGTGAAGAGAGGAAGCTATTTGAGTTAACGCGGGTTAACAATGATGATGCAGGATACATTAGTGGGGATTCCACAGACAACGCTAAAGATTTCACTGATGGAATGACCATACTCAAGCATCAACTAAACAACCAAACGTACGAAGGACTAGCTGCAGTTTTAAGTGACCCATCCCTGAACAGGAAAGATTTGGTGGTTAAAGTTTGCTGCATCCACGAAGGTAAGAAGGACACGCGCCTCGTTCTTTAAACCGGTTCGGTTATTAGCGCATTTGAATCGAGTTAGAGTCGGTAGAACAAAAATCAAAGTAATTTGAAATGTAGATCTGAACGAAGGAAAAGATTCTAGGGATCATGAAAGGAGAATATAAATTACAAACAAGCAAAATGCTTGAGGGGTGCAAACCGCGAGTGGCCTTGTGGGATTGGTCTCAGTTTTGCATGTGATTGGCTAAGGGAGAGGCTAGAGATTTTAGACCAATCATACAGAGAATATTCGAAGAAAGACAAACCTAATAATATGGTGAATAACTTAACACTGAAAATCGAAAACCGCTCTACAATTTTGTTTTATTTCTCTGTCGTGAGGGACAAATATAATTGTTTTCTTTGCCCAATTTCTAATCATTATTATTTCTTGTCAAAATCTTCGTGCTACACATTTGATAAAGAAGTACAAAGTAATACTTCGATGTTGCCCAGCTCATTATTTCAAACAGGCAAAGATAACAAAAATGCCCTATAAGGGACAACGCAGTTTCTCAGACAATCAGCATGGTTTCCTAGAGCGCCGGACTGTTATGCGGGAGGTCGAGGGTTCGAGCCCCGGCCTATAGTATCAAGAAATAGATAGACATTCTAGTCTTCTCGGATAAGGACGAATAAACCGTAGGTCCCGTCTCCTGCATCTATTAATTAGTTAATTTGGTTAGGCAGGGGACGTTGAAGAACCTACTCACGAGATTACTGTGATGGGGTCTGGCCTGTTTACTGGGAATTAAGGGGGGGGGGGCAAATTCAAATAAGTTTTCCTCGATTGTTTGTAAACTGCCAATGCAGTCCGGCCAAACTCCCCCGAAAAGTGTTGTGATGCGCATTTGATCCACATGTTAATTTGCGCAATATAAATGTTAAATTATTATTATTATTAATTCAATAATACACAAGCCTTTCTTCGGGAAAAAAGTCACGATTCTTTTCAAATTCATTCGCTGCAATTTGACTTCAAAGGAAACTAAGTGAGTGTCTTCCGATTCATGAACTAAATCAAATTCTCAGCGACATCGTTGAACACGACTGAGCTAATAGGTAATACACCTTAATTTCTCGTCGACAGATCTGCTTCCCACCTACATTTTGGCGAGAGGCAACCAAGCCGTAACAGCTTATCGAGGAGCTTTAAAATCAGGCGAAACACCCGACAACCGAGTCAAGGTAATATTGATTGGTGATGATCAAGTCGGCAAAACAAGCGTTGAAAAAGCACTGAGAGCCAAAACACTTAAGAGTAAAGACACACATGGGTCAGAAGAGCTAGGACAAGTGACTGAAAAAAATCGACCAGGTTGGTTTAATTTGATCCTCGTACGATTATAATAAAAACTTTGGAGTTACGATTATTTAAAGTGTAGCCCGCAGTTATTAGGGAACATTGAGAAAAAGGCCCAACGATAATTTATGGAATATCCTTAACAACTTGTTTAGAAGCAATAACGACTACACAATAAATTTTTTCTGTTCTTGCTAAGATTTCCATTTGCTTTCATTTTTACTTCAGTGTTGCCACAAACTGATGGAGGTATTTCGCTGCTACAACCTGTGGATAGAGTGGACGAGGAAGCCAGCTTGGTTGAAGAGATCTCATTATACGATGAGGTCGATTGCGTTCGGCGTAATTCCCCTGAAAAAGAATTAGAAATATGGGAATTATCTGGCCAAGGCGTCTACCGTGCCATACATCCTATGTTCATGACCCCAGATGCTGTATACATCTTGGTGTTTGATCTGTCAAAGCGATTGTTTCAAACGTCAAGGGAAGAAGACAACGAGAACAGTTTGCCACCGAATTCAGGGAAACAAGATTCCAATCTTGATTGTATTATGAGGTGGATGGACATCTTGAATTCCTTGAAATATTCTGCCGATGGTGAAACTCTTCCCCCAGTTATCCTTGTGGGTACTCATGCTGACCGTGTTGAAGGAGACCCGGAAAAAATCATGGGTGCGCTTTTGGACAGATTCCGCAACATCAAGCTGGGCGATCAAATCAAAGGAAAATTCGTCTTGGACAAAACACGCAATGTAAACGACCAAGAAGACCGACAAATTGCCAATTTGCGTCGGCGAATATTAAATGAAGCCAACAAGCTGCCGCATGCTAAGAAGAAGATCCCCCGTAAATGGTTTGACATAGAAAGAAAGATTCAAGAAGAAGCTAAAAGGGGAGTTAAGTATTTTACTTCCAAAGAGGTCTTCACAAAAGAAATTGTCAAGAAAGTTTGTCAAACTCAAGATGTACATGATATCGACCAGATTTTGCACTTCCTTTGTGATCGTCGGTCGATAATCTATCCCGAGAATGCTTCTGAAGAAGATGGCTTGGTAGTACTGGATCCACAGTGGCTTGCGGATGGACTTTGCAAAGTATTAAATAAAGAAGAAGACGTGGTAGAATTTCGAAACCTACGGCACGAACTTCGAGAGACAGGCATCCTGCACCAAAAACTTTTTGATCACGCCTGTCTAGAGTGGGGTGTACAAGAAATTCAGCAGCCATTGGTTTCTCTCATGAAACATTACAATCTCCTTTTTTCCTGTCCAAGTAAGGACAGGGGAAAAGAAGATTGTAACGAGCAACCCAGTTATCTCGTTCCAAGCATGATTAGAAGAAAGATGGGAGAAGATAAAGTCATCTCAAGTAAGAATGGTTCTTCAACACATCCACCGATTTATTTAACCTTTAGAACCAAGTTTGTACCAATGGGCTTATTCTCCAGACTGGCTGTGCTTATTGGAGCATGGGCTGCGACAAAAAGTTCCAGTGACCAGCCGCAGATCTACGCCGACACAGCACACTTCATTTTAGAGGGCAAGAAATTCTTGGAGTTGAAGTGCTTGAAAAGTGTCATTAGGTTGCAAGTTTGGTCTCAAGACAGCACAGATCCACTATACGCTGATCCAGGATTTTACTTCGAGATTTATCGGTGAGACCGCTGGCCTATTTGTTTCCTTGGTCTTAAACTTATACGAACTCTATTCTCCTTACAAGTTGAGCTAAGCTAAAATTTATTTCATTGAGCATAAAAATTCATTAGTACCCTTTTTCTGGTCTCGTAGCCCTTACATCATTGCCCACCTATCTGGAAGCCTTAAACTACCCCTAAAAATAATTTGTTGTGTTTTTTTTTTATCGCTATTGACCAATACTTAAATATATTATAATTTTTTTTTTTTTTGAAAAATCTACTTTAAAGCTGTTTGGAAAGGAGTTTGGAAGCGATACGAACAACTTGTCACTGGTTACGTTCTGTTTCCCGGGATCTTTGTGTACAATGCTGCGTACAATCTTGTCCAGGCACGGTCAACTCAAAAACCGGAAAATGTATCTGGCACGACAGGGAAAAATGTCCTCAAGAAGACTGTGCACACTATATTCCTTTGAAAAGGCACGCTACCTTGTATTGTCCACAGACCATGACGTGTCTCCCTGAGGGAAAATTTAAGATGTTGGTGCAGGTAAAGGACTGTTTTGATATATCAAATAAGGAAGTGTAACATCTTTGTTGTTTTAAGACGTACTTACATGAAGCGATTTAAGTGCGTCGATTTGTGGTAACTAAATGGAATTGCTTTCCTTTTTTTAGGCTTTGGAGAACAATAACAGTCAAGAGAGAAAAGGTTTATTTTGTTTTGTTTTTGCCTTTGACTGCTTCCATACATCTCTAGCTTTTATTCCCCTTAAAGTTTTATCACATAGTATATCAATATTCAAAGTGTTGGCTCTTAAGATGGAATAAATCTGTAAATATCGGCAGACTGAGACCTTCGTTCCAGAAGGTTTAAGTCTCTCAATGATAATTAACGGTCAATACAATACCACTATGAGAGAGAGAGAGATCCATGTTACTTAGTGTGTCCAACTAGAAGAAACCTTGACTCGCATGCTAGCAAGCTATTTCTATTTAGTTCTTTATTAATACCTTTTTATATTTTAGTTGACCATTCATCGGCCATCTCACGAAAAGAAAATCTAGCGCTGCCTTCAAGATCCTCGACCAATGAAATTACTGTTCTGCTGTTAGCTGAGGAGTGGGGCTCAGGGAAGGGAGGTCTATCAACAATCAGTAGGGAACTGGCAATTGAGCTTGCAAAATATTCCAATCTGAGAATCCACTTCTACGTCATCAACTCCAGCGAAGAAGATAAGCAAATGGCGAAGAGAAGCAACATCAACGTCATAAAAGCCAAAGAACGACCTGGTTTTAATAATGGTTTTGACCGGTTAGCGTTCCCTCCGGTAGAATTACCAGAGATTGACGTTGTTATTGGGCATGGAGTGAAGCTGGGAAAGCAGGCTCAAATTATTCAAGTCAAACATCCAAGATGTGTCTGGGTTCAGTTTGAGCATACCGCTCCGGAGGAACTTGGCGCCTACAAGAATTATGAGGGCAACATCGCGAGAGGAGAAACGAAGCATTGCGATGAGGTAGGTCTCGCCGAACTCGCTGATATCGTGGCTGCAATCGGTCCCAAACTGACAGAGTATTACAAGACTTCACTGCGTCCTTTTAAAGGTGGACCGGACAAGGTTTTCCAAATGACTCCGGATCCAAGCATGTTCCACGAATTTCATTCGTGCGAGCAGGACAGGGAAGACAGAGACAATTTCAACGTTTTGATATTTGGTCGTGGTGACTCGGAAGATTTCGAGCTTAAAGGATTTGACATAGCCGCAGCAGCAGTTGCAGAACTTAAGGACGGGAGGTACCACCTCTATGCTGTTGGTGCTACACACGGACAACAGGAAGTTGTTCGAAAGAAGTTACTTCAGTATGGTCTCTCCGAAAGTCAGTTGACAGTTCGTGGTTTTATCGAACGTAGAGATAAAGTTGCCCAGTTGCTGTGCGAAGTGGACCTTGCCATCATGCCATCAAGAACAGAGGGCTTTGGACTGACAGCTCTTGAGGCCTTAGCTGCTGGTCTTCCGATTTTAGTTGGAGCAGATTCAGGTTTTGCCAAAGCTCTTCAAAATATTAAAGAATCAGCTTGCATCGTGAATGACAATGACATAAAGGAATGGGCCAAAGCAATTCGAGGCGTCAAGGAGAAACCTAGATCAACGCGATTAGAAGAAGCCATGAGGTTAAAAGAGAGGTACCAAGGGGAATTTTCCTGGTCAAAGAGATGTAAAACCCTCCTGCAGAAAATTAATCTTCTTGTTGGTAAGAAGTATTTAAATATTTGCACTGTCTGAACCAGCATAAATAACTTATCTACCTTTTTAGGGTTTTAATGACTGTCTGTTTCGGTTCGTCTTATTATCTGGCTTGCCAACTCCCTCAAATCATTTTCCCAGCGACAACCTGTTTCACCTCAAAAACTCGCAAAAGCAGCCATGCGATGTGGCACGACTAAGTTCAACTTCAACAGTTAAACTCTTCCAACGTAAACGGTTACATGTAGTACGATTATGTGTAACTTCTGCAACAGTTACATTCTAACTGGGATGCCCTTAAGTCATGGAATACCGTAAAAAAAAAAACAAACAAACAAACAAAAAAAAAACAAATAAAGGGTATTCTCCATACCCGACGACGAATCTCTGACATCAAGCCTTGTACTTCGCTAGAAAAGAAACGTCACAGTAAAGATATGAAAGACGAACAAAAGCGTGAAGACGCAACAAACCCAGAGGAAAATGAAGAAGATGAAACGCAAAACCAGTCACAAACAACGCGAACACCTGACGCAGTTGAGGAACTGGAGCCGACAGATTATGACGGTATGTAACAAAAATCACACGAGAGAACAAACTGTGGAGTAGTTTTTCCTATCGAAATTTTTTCTTTTTTTTTTTTTTTTTTTTCAAAGCAAACGACATTGCAAGTGTCTAAAGCGGCGCGTAATTAAGGGTCGCAGGTGCGTGATTGACACGAAACGTTTCTCTCTCAAACTTTATGGGGATGTAGACATATCTTGATTATCTTCACCCTAGTTTCAAGCCAGTCTAATCAGATCGTTATGGTAAAACATAATCCGAATTACTTACTCTAGTATGAACTCTCAATGTAAGTTGGCCCTAAATTGATATCGAATAGTCTGAACGAAAAGAAGGATACCGAAAATAGCCTCAAGATCCCATTGTGCATACTGTATTACTGATAGCTTTCTGTTAAATCACAGAGGGTTACAGTTGCTCCAAAGACAGAACCAATTCAAATCAATCTTTATCCGGACATGAGGAGACCAGACATTCTCTAGTCGTAGAGCCTGGTTTATCTTCCGAGATCGAAAACACGCGACTTAACAAGCAGGTAAAGTCAAGAAGAGTCATTATAACATAACCAAAGTAAGGCGCGCGCTCTGATTGGTCAATTTAGCGTCCCCCATTTGCCCATGGGTGTACGCTGCTGACGTGAGCAAATGCAAAGACTATTTTCCCGCGCGCGCTTGTTTTTTCTGGTCACGTAAGATTTGTTAAATAAAAGGGAACTCTTTAGCTACAATGTATCAATGTTATGTTATAAAACAAATGGTAAACACCACACCGTACACTATTGAGTTATGGATGCACTTGGGAGGTTTGCTAAGCACTCAAGAAGCTAGAGTCGCTCTCGGCTATCGCCTCGAGCGACTCTTACGCTTCTTTCGTGCTTAGCAACCTCCCGCGTGCATCCATAACTCAATAGTGTACGCTGTGGTGTTTACCATTTGTTAATTACAATTAACAAATTACAAATTCTCATTTTCCTGGTGGCAAGCGTACACAGGTACCTTTCTTGTGTTTGTTAAAGAAGGATTTGTCCAATACCGCTCGTTTTCCCGCCCTTTCGTGCTTTTTCCGCAGAGGACCGTGGGCTTCGATACTCTTTTTTTTTTCTACTGTAGCGGTCATCTTGATTTTGTTATGTTTTTGAGTTCGAAATAAAGTACTTTCTTTGACGACTTCTTCCTGGTTGTTCAACTATTCTGGTTTCGTAAACAATGTTTCTTTCGTTTGGTTGGCATTTCTTTGTGATAGTTTAGGTCTAAAATGAGGTATAAAACCTGACTCCTATGACCTGCCCCGAAACAGCTTCAAGCAATTCGTCGACATGGGTCGTGCTGAATGAGTTCTAGTAATATACTATTTTCTTCTTTTATACAATAGCAAAACGGATCTCAACTTGAGCAAGATGAAAATCAGAAGACAGATGCATTCGAAAAGAAGTATGTGGAAAAGTTTCTCTTCTTATCAAATCGACCTGATGTTTATCAACGAAAATTACAATTCATAAATGGAGTAGCCATTAGAGGGGTTAGAGTATAAGTATCTTAAATGTTAAAGTAAAAATAATGGCTTCAGCCCTTTTAGACATTTTCCAGGGGTTGAAATGTTGTGCCAAATGCTAAGTTGTCGTACCAAAGGTTAAAATGCCTTGTTCTTCGGCAGTTCAACCCAAGAACCACGACAGAGGAAAAATCTTCCGAGTCAAACGGATTGCGACGGAAAGATGACGAAAGACGTGAAGCGTTCAAGGATCGAGGGCCTTCAATGTTGGAGAACAAGAAGTTGCTTGATGCTACTCATATTAGTAATGTTGATAGCAGCAGCATTCTGTTTACAACTGTAGAGTTTTATGAAGGATTAACGGAGTGCGCCTCTGTTGGCGCTTGTCTGTACTATAGATAACTTGTAATAAGCTCAGTTGGGCGTTAATAAGTATTTTGCATCGAAGTATCCATAAATCAACCATTTACATTGGTAACCATAATACCCTCCACACTGTTCTAATAATATTTCCTATGGAACTGACAAGGAGAAATTATTTGAAAATAAGTATCTTTTAAATTAGTGATAATTTTTCTGTATTCTCATGACCTTTATATTTGATTTAAGGGTGACACTGTTAGGAGAAATGAGTACTCAGTCATTTTTAGGGGTATAGAGGTAAAATAACATTTCATCTGGCGTTCCAATTCATCAATTATATAATCATTGTACGATCCAAATGATAAAAATCACACCTTACTTACTGCTCTATTGTTTTTTTAGGGGGAGAGGAGAGGGGGTCAAATAAATTGCCCTTTTTCAATCAAGATCTCCAGGTATATTCTCCGTACTGCGTGTCTTTCAGATTTGGTGGTGTAATATGGTTTTTCGCCCCTTTCCTTAACAACATTTACATAAGGGTTGTGGGATTCCTTATTAGCGATCCCCGGGTCAAATTATCAACGCATTAACCACGATCACATAAACATAGTAGACATTAAAATATCTTTAGGGCATCTATATAAATTCCATTCTTAGAGAATTAAGCCGTTACTTAAAGTATCATTCTATTCATTTATATATTTATGTCAAAATATAATAAACATTACTGGGTAAAGTCGTAAAACGTATCTTTTGTATTTACTCGTGTTAAGTGATGCTTGGTTTTAAGGGTCAGTTTGAAAGAACAGTACTCATAGAAGCCTTCACTTTCAGGATAACAATTATAACTCTATTGTTCTCTCGTGACCCACCCAGTCGTTTCCTTGACAATATAATGATCCCTTCCCACCCCTCCCCTCTTTACTTGGGCTCTGAACAGGCCATCTCACGATTCTTAGGGGCCATGGCAAATACTTGAAAAAGACAAACAATCGTACGGTTTAACTTTTATTTTTTTGTTTAAGAACTATTAGAGCTTTCATCCTGCAGCAGTACTATTTGAAACCACTTATTCATCATTTAAAAAATTGTTATTTAGGTGGGTGACTAACGCTTTCTTCAGTCCCCAGTTTCCTATCCCTCACCGCATCTGCAGTAGGGCAGTTGTAATGGGAGGGCTACCCTTCGACTTAACTTCATTATGTCTGCTCCGAATGAGTTAAAACCTATTGTATGTGATCATTACGACTAATGCTCTTGATAAAGACAAAATTGACTCGTGCTATTCTGAAACTTTTTTTTTTCGACTTTTGGGCAAAACGATATTATTCTAAAGGCTACATGGTTCTCAGAGGAAAACTTCGAAGAGAGGACGACCACAAAAAGATGTTTTTTTCCCCAAGATCTTAGGTTACACTGGAGGGTGCAAGGATTGGTGATCGTGTATCCCTCTTAAATGTTTATTACATTAATTTTTATATTTAGATCTGCTAAATTGCAGTCATCCTCAAGAATAGACCTTGCTTAAGAAATTAAAACTAAAACAAAAGCATTAAAAAGAAGAGATATAAAATAAGTAACCTAGAAGCACATGAATAGTTCCTGCTTTGCTAGTTTTGCTTTTTGGGATAGACAATTGGCTCAAAGGTTTGCTCTGGATGGTATAACACCCTGATCTCCCGCTTTATAGTGACCCACTTGACGTCGCCTCGCAAAACGTCCCGGTTAAGAGGCTCGGACTCCAAAGCTTCTCGAAATCTGGGGACGGTATCGAGTCGTAGTCCCTGTTTTAAACAACACAACAACAAAAAAATAAATATACATACACTAACGTTGTGTAATTAGTGAACAGGGTTTCGTTACTTTTCGCTGACCTTTGGTAAATTTTCACTGACTTTGAAAAAATTGGTAAAAATCCACATCAGCAACTACAATGCAACTCCAGATTGTCATTGACACTCAACACGTTCTAATAATAATTTCTATATAAATGAAGTCTCCAATTCTACCAAGAAAAGTGATACATACATCGGGTGTGTCAATCCCTCTGGTGCTTAAATAAGGACTAAGCTCTATTTGAGTCTGGAACAAAGGCTCATAATCAGTCTCGGCTGTGGTGGCATACAACATAATGACGTCATTGCATCCGTCAGGTCTTGTTAATTCAACGTTAGGCTCCACCATGAGACGAACTGTTTCAGGCTCGAGGTAAACGCGTCTGATCTCTGATACTGACTCCCCAGGCCTAAGGACCCCGCTGACACCCTACAGAATGGATGAAGACGAACATCATTCACTTTTCTGAGCTCTACGGTATTTGGTTGTCATGGTATGAAATGCTACAGTTCAAATAGACCTTGGACGGCGTAGTTTCGTTACACCAGGAGAAATTATAATTAGCATACATAATTATTGGGGGCAAAACGCTTTCCGACTGCGATAATAATATGATTTTCAGGGTGCAAATGTCTACAAAGGTGCATGTGCTTCTTAAATCCCTTCCCGCTCAAGCTAATCGTTCGTTTTGACACTGGTATTCTCTTAAGAAGACAGATCTGGTCTCGAATGATTACTTGCTTAATGAAGAATCTTTACGTTTGAATAGTTATTGTATCAACTAACGAGATCGTCGCAGACAAAACTCGTTTTATAAATCGGAAAATTAGTTTGATGTGTCGATAGTAAACGAAAATCAAGATTTTTCTGAGTAGGGCGATGTCTTTTCAAAGCCTACGACAAAATTGAAACATTTATTTTCCAATTTTTTTTGACCCAGCAAGATTCGTCTCGAAGATGTAGCAGCCCCTTCTCCGGTAAAGCTACGTACAACGACCAACAATAAATTAACCAAAAAAACAAAGACTTGCCCTTTTCGCTGCCGGATATAAGACAACTATGGAGCCATCTGACTGGTAGGAAATCAAACAAACGTGGATTGGAAATGCTTCGTTATTGGTGATCTGAAACACAACCGCGTCCCCAGTAGAATCTAAAGCCTGGTACTTGATGCGATTAAACGTGTGAGGTACAACCTCGACCCTGTGGGCTCCAAAAGTTGGAATATAACCCTCTGGTTTTCCTGGAATAAAGATATAACCAGGAAGAAAATGGTAAGGAAACATTTTCAGTAAGTTTACCCCATCACCCCTTAATGCCAGGGAATTCATTAAAAATGTTTGAATATCAAAAGAAGCTCCTACCCCCTGACCCTGTTTATTTTTGACAAATCGAGGAAGGAGGCAGTATAATTTTAAAGGCAGAAAATGGAGCTACGTTATTGGTGGGAGCATGGCAACGAGAAAAACATGAATAAATTAGTGGAATGAAAAGCGTTCGTTGATCCCTGTGGGATTTAGACTGCCAGTTTGAAAGATGAAAGGAGGCAGTAGACTACATTAACCCCAAAAATACGGGGCGAGGAAAATGAGCTTCTACACAAGTTTGACACACGTATATGAATGGACCGTCCCTCAGCCTCCTGCATACCAACACCCCTCCCCCCCCTCCCTCATCTTCACATCCTATTTATATGGCATTACCTTCATAAATCTCCCCACTTTCAATGGCCTGAGCTTTCAACGCCGCCTTCTTACTCAAATCTCCCTTGTAGGGAGGCACGTTCTCCATTTTGAACAGCTTGAGGCTGACATTTCTCAGCATGTTGTGATTGGGTTCCCTTGGCCGGATCCCAAACTGGACACGAAAATACTTGCAGAGATTTTTGATCATGAGGTGACCATCCCTAGTACGCTGATCAGGCACAATCATCCTACCATTGTAAATGGCACGCCAACATTTTTGTCTGTAAATCAAATGTCCCACTTCAGATACGCTCATGGAAGTGTTTAAGGATCTACATAACACGATCTCTTTATGAATACAAACCAACAAAACGAACAAGAACACACAATAAACGACTTGGAAGTAAGCGCAGTCTCCTGAATGAAAATGAGCGTCGCAGTATTTCTGAATCGCCTCTTTTTACATGCTCCTGCGCGTGAGTAATCCACACAATCGACAAACGCGTAAACAACGAAATACGTAAACAAACTATTAAAGAACTTACACCACGTAAACGGATCGATTAAGAGTACAACGCAATAAAACCTGCACACTTGTTCCCAATTGCATGTACGTTCACCCTTAATAATTTCAACCCTAGGTAAGTCTTCTCAAACCCTTCTACCCCATTTGAGTTATTAAGAGTCCATTCCCTCTTCCCTATTTCAAATAGGGAAATGTTTAACAAATTAATTCAGTTATTACCGGATAACAGATTAATAAACTGTACTGCGATACTTTGCAGTAAAACAGAGGCCTAAAAGAATAGCTTAGAAGTATTATAAAAGTTGTTGTTTTACTCTTCGATTGTTACGACGTCCAACTTGACACAATCGGGTGTGTCATCTTTCCTAATGCTGAACATCTGCTGGCTTTCCATTGCGAGTTTCACGTCGCCCACATATTTTTCTTCAACCCCTTCAGCAATGATGCAAAGGGGATAGAGCATACTTCCCAGTTGGGCCAGGCGAGCTTTGTATCCCACCTGAAATTGAAACACACAACTTTTCAGGCCACGCGAAATTGACATATAGATTCTAGTCAGTGATCTGAAAATCCAGTTGGATGACCTCAAACTCAAGTTATCTCACGAGGAGAAGGCCAAAGAAGAACTGCACGGCACTATCAACAGATGTGAAATTTTAGACGTTAATTTTTGTGCTTGGGAAACTATTATGTGTTTCCTAGTGATAGGAGCTAGATATCTCTCTTCTATCACTTCATTTGGCGATTCCACTATTTCAAACTCTAGTAGGCTAGTTAACAAATAGATTCCGTAATGCCGTGGGTCTGTTCGGTAATATATCACACATAAAGTCAAAATGTGGCAAGAACAGTTGTTTGTGGTGACGTCATCTATTTGACAGTTCTCCCAAAGATTATAGGTAAGAACCAATCAAAATGCGCGTATAATTCAGCTTATTAAAAACTGGATCATTGGATAATGCAATTCAAGACTTTTTATTGGTTTAGCCATTATGGTATATGAGCTAATATACCATAATCTAATATCTGTACATTGTAACATCGGTTTCTTCTTACAAAATAAAGTCGAGAAGATTTGTCTAATATCTTGGGGGCGTTTTTTTTTTTAATAAAACAATTATTCCACTCGCACTTGTTGGATATGAGATGATTATAGCCAACTCGGCGCTACGCGCCTCGTTGGCTATCTATCATCTCATATCCAACGCGCGCTCGTGGAATAATTGTTAA